CCCCAAAACCCCAAAACCCCAAAACCCCAAAAGATACGGAAAGTTGAAAATACAAAAGCTTAGTTAAGAAATAAGTTATTTGGGCTACTATCTAGTCATTCTGAAGAACTTTAGGAAGAAAAATGGGTTGTTACTACTGGAAAGAGCTTGGTATAGAGCATAATTGAGCAAGAGACGATCTTTAGATATGTATCTTATTGAATCAATAAATAAGATATTTTTACTACACATTGCGTATCTTTAGGTCTAAAAATGGCTTTATGTTCTAAATCCTATAACATTATTTGATAAAGATGTCATTAGAGGAGAGGGATCAAATAGTCAAAGAAGTGGTTGATCAATTAGTTGGCCAAGTTGCTCAAGAATCTCAGGATATATTGAGGAAAGAGGTAGTAAAGATAAAACCTCAGGATGATAATGAAACAGCAGAGAATAACTTAGAGCATTCTTACAATAGCCAACAAGAGAGGAATGAGAGTTCTAAATTGATTGCAAGCCCTGGTAATGATGATAGCCTCCTTCCATGATCAAAGACGTTTTGAAGAGATGGAGATAGGAGAAGCATGCCGCTGAAAATGATCAATGAAGAAAATGCTAAAAAGAGCTTATCTTACAAAGAGAATGATGTTTCTCACTCCCAAATCTCATTTGATAAATCAGGCAAACCTATAGAGGAGTACTTAAGCAACTTGAGTGAGGAAGACATTTCTCAGTATGCAAGTCCTGTGAAGAAAGCTATTTGATCTAATGATGATTCTAATTCTACAAGAAAGGAAGAGATCAAGCAGACTCAGAAACAAGAAGAATCCTCAAATACTTCAGGATCTAATCTTGTTTACGGAGGAGGAAAATATATCTCCTACGGTGCCAATAAAGTTGGAGTTTGCATAAATAATGATACAATGAACTATTTTGAACACCAAAAAGCACCTCAAAATCATGGGTATCCACCAGGGATGAAGACTAACTTCCCAATGGGGAATTACCAAAGAGGCTATAATGGTCAGAATACGAATATGTATAACCCAGGTGTTGGTAGAATGAATCCTCATCAGAATTACCAAATGTATAATCAGCAATATCAGAATAGGAAACCTCCAGTAATCAATACCAAGCAACAAGACAGTCGGATTGAACACTACAGATCAATGATAGATGATTTGAAGGAAGAAAATAGGAGGCTAAAGGAAGCTAGAGAGGAAATTTCAAAGCATAAAGATTTTTATTACAAGAACATCATTTCAAGTCTCAATAATATCAACGACCGAAAAGAGACTTTGATAAAACATCAAAGTGAGATGATTGAAACATTGAGAAAAGGAATGAGCTTCAGCTGACCCCCAGTTCGAGAATCTAGAAATGATTTTACGAACTTTAATACACCAGCAGAAGACGTAGGATTCTGCAATACTTCCTTTAACTTTTAGCAACATGAATAACACCATTGAAAAGGCAGATGAATCTCCTGGTTTTTCTATGCCTTCATTTGATGCAAGAAATAAAGTAAATCAGGCAAGAAGCATGTCTGAGAGTCAAGGATTTTCTCATCCTCCCAATGTAGAGGATATAAAAATTCCTGCATCAATTGACGAAAGCAAACCTTCAGAAACCCCTATGTTCGATAAGCCAGATAAAACTTCCTCTGCATTAAAAGGCTTTGACTTATTCAAATCTGCAGGGAAGAAGATCTCAAGTAAATTCAAGCTTGGTGGGAATGGGAATACCAATAAGCTTCAAAGTACTAAGAGGCTTCATAAATTTATGAAAGATTTAAACCAGGAGCTTGACGATGACAAAAAGTTATTAGAAGGTTTCAACATCCCTACAGAGGATAAAGATGGAGAGTTGCAGTTTGGAAGCCCTCCTCCACTTCAAACTTCTACCGAGCCTGCTGAAAGCACAGAGGTACAAACTAAAGAACAAAAGACCAATGTGAAGCAGAATGAAGAAAAAGATGTAGAAATGACAGCAGAGAATGAAGAAGTGAAAGCAGAGAGCGAAGAAAGCTTAACAAAAGATGAGAAAATTACAGAAATGAAGCTGCCACAAACACATTCTTTAGGAGCACCCCAGCTAATTGAGAACAAGACCAGTGAGAATGATTCAATAATGGAGGTAGATTGTCCATCCGAGATGCCTTTCTCTATTGAAGATAGCTCCAAACAAGATTTATGAATAATTGAAGATTCTCCTCTAAAAGATTTTGAGAAGGAGAAGCAAAATATGAAAGAATACACAATCGAGAACACTTTGCTAAGACTGATAAATTTAGAAGAGAATCAAAGAGAAGCAAATATATTCCCAATGCTAGTCAGGAACAAAGGGAAGGATAGCCCAATGGGGAAGTATAAGTTCTTGACCAAGAAAATCACTGGAGCCTTACTTGAGTTTAAAGACATAAAAATAGACTGTCTGTGTATCAGAGATGAGAAATACAGTACCACAAATATTATCTGTAGTCTATGTCAAAATTCTGGAGCCCTAAATTCAGAACAAATTCATAAGATCCTTGGCATCTTGTTGAAGAAGAAATATGATAAGCAAGATTTGTCAAAAGAGTTTTGAGAGAAATGGACTCATCATCATTTCAGATTTGCCCTATGGAAACTTAAAAGTTTTGAGAGAGCAAGCAATGAAGAGCTAGAACTCTATAACTTAGAAAATATCATTTCAGACCTCCTTAAGAAATATGACTGGGAATTTGAGCAGGGGAATAGATCATTCTTTCAGAAAATTATTGAAAGCGATGAGTCTCCTGCCCGAAAAGTTGTCTTACTGATTGCAAATATTGAAGAAATTGAAGAAGGCAAGTGTCTGTTAGAGCTCTATGATGGCAGATATTGTTTATTTAGCGTCATAAAAGAAAATGATACATCATACCTTGAGGATAGCCCACAGATATATCAACTTATTAAGGAGAAGAAGCTTTATGCTGGTCTGAAGATTCATGTTGCATCTAGTGCATTAACCTCTGATGGAATCGATGATGTTATTGTTCAAAAGGAAGATATCAACTGTCCTCATTATTACTTGTCAAAACAGTGCAGTAATAGTCTGATTCTCAACTACAACTCTATTTCTCGAGCAAGGATTGATGAGAAGCTAGGATTCCAAAAGGACAAGTTTTTAACAAAGTGGCTCAAAGATGTGAACCAGTTATGTAGAACAGTTTCAAGAATAAATGTATATATCACCAAGATATATCCCTTATATCTTGTTCATACTGTCAGTGATACTAGGAAGGTTTTGAGAAGTTTTGACACTTTCCAGGAAATCAATGAAGAACTGGGTAAGAAAATGACAGAAGAGTTAAAAACATTGAAATCAAGAGGTGCCACTGAAGAAGAAATCAGGGAAAGACAAGAGGAGCTCCAAGGAAGCAATCAGGATAAGTTCATGCTGTTCTTCAAGATTAAAGTAGTAGATGCCATGTATAATGAAGAAAAGGTCAGCCTTAACAAACGAGAGACCATTATCACAGTAATGGACACAACTATAGATATGTACGACAGTCTCGAAATTGGTGACAGAGTGATCTTTTATAATCTCCTAACAGATACCTTTAAGAAGAGTGGAGAATTCAAGAACAAGTATATTGAAAGCAAACAGCTCTGACTTTCTTTCAAATGAAAGAAATCTCGTTATGATATCTTGAGGCATTATGATATGACATCAAAAGCAGAAAGACAGATAGGACTAGATAGAATAGAACCTTTAGTCAACATGGAGAAATTATTTGCCATATTTACTGACATCTTTAAGAAAACTAAGAAAATGGAAGCACAAGAGCGAACAAAAGCAATTCTGAGTGAATTTAAGCTACAGGAAGTCTCTTTTGTGGGACTCATTCTCAGAATTTCTTCATCAAATACAGAATTCTCATTTGGATTGAAATGTATCAGGAAAGTGTACGTCTTACTGCCTAATCATCACTTGGTTATTCTAAACGTAAGTATTATTATGCTAAATGTCAAGATATGAGATCCAAATTTTTATACTGAAAAGTCTTTCCCTTCAGAGAACACAGTGGCTATATTTGAATCTGTATACTTCGAGCAACTGGTAGAACTCAATCTGTCAGATCAGAATGTAAATTTTGTAGAGATTCTGAAATCTGAAAAATGGATGAACTCCAAAGCTTTGTACCAAGATGACTCTGCTTTTGTGCTAAGCTTCAATTCTTCCTGTCAAACCAAGGTTATCAAAGAGAAGGCTGTATTTGCAAAATACTTGACAGATGAGTTTTATAAGAAAGAGATAGAGACTCTTCAAAAGATGATAGATAATGAAGACCATATAATCCTCAAGAGATGAAAGGAAGTTGGAATTATCACTCAAAGCTCCCCACCTATTTTTGATCGTAGTAAAGCAAAGAAGCAAACTAAAACCCATAATTTGCACAAAGGTCTAACAGCTATAAACGAGAACGCATCAGATCAAGGTAACCCACATCCAAAAATATCACCCTACATAACCCACTTAGAAATCCCACCTCAAAAATTCAACATAAAATTCACCTCCAAGTCCAAACCCGCCAAGCCAAAATCCAAGAAATTCCCGAACAAAATTCAAAAATCTACAAAATTCAAGCCAAAGACCAAAAAGCGACAAAAAATTCATGAAGAAAAAGAAGTTGAAATTCAGATTGACCTGAACAAGGACTTGAAGAAGTCTGAAAGCCAGGCTGATAATGACTCTTCAGTGGAGATCCAGGAACATTTGTGTGTGACGCCGAAGAGAGGGAAGTTAGGGACAGAAGTAGGCAAGTGAATGACTGTGGATGAGAAGTCGTGTAGAGGGGAGATTGAGTGGAGTAGTCAAGGCAAGGAAGAAGGGGAGACTGTGCAGTCAGCACCCTATGAGAAGATGAGGAGAGTGGTGAAGAAGATACCGGTGAAGAGGAAGGATAGGGGTAAGCAGAATTTGGAAATTGAGGAGGAGACGATAAATACTGCTAAAGCTACTATTGATAATGAAAGCGTGCCGACTAGGATAAGTGGGAGTAATTGCATGGAAGGTACAACTAGGAGTAGTACTATATTTTCTAATAATAAGATTGATCAAGAAGATGAAGAATCTATTGATTTTGATATAAGAGTAGAATCTGAAACTCCTCAAGAGGATGCCATACAGTCAGAAGAAGCCTTAGAAGAAAATAAAGAAGAAAACAAATAAATCCAAGAAATCAAAGAAAACAAAGAAGAAACTCCGCAAAAGAGCTCGCAAAGAGGTTCAAAAATCTGGATCAGACAGCTCTGAAGCGGAATACTTGCCAGATAAAGGTTCTTCCTTCCGTAAGCGTAGTAGGAACACTTCAATCTCTCATCACTCTAAGGGTCAAAATCAGGTAAATTTCCCTAATAGCCAGGAGAATCCAGTAGAGATTGAGGACATAGAAGAGATCTCAGACCCAGTGGAGGCAATAGACATTCAGGAAGAGACCCCAATAGAAGTAGAAGAAGAAATAATTGATGATGAATAAAACCCTAATTTTATAATATCAATTTTAGTAAAATCTTTAGGGGTTTTGGGGTTTTGGGGTTTTGGGGTTTTGGGG